TTAAATAGCAGTAACAATGTAAAATTTACTTTGAGTTTATAATTTTGCGCGCTACTATAAGTTATCGAGATTCGAAATATGTATTGTTCGAATTTTCATTATGGGCTCAGATAAAAAAGGTTAAAAAATGTAATCTAAATTTCTTCTTTGTCATTCCACTCAATTGTTATTTTCGCAAAAGTTGTTTTCCACATTGTCCAGTAAGCTAATCTCTTTGATCGAATTAAAAAAAGAGTTGATCCCATGTAAAAGATGTGCCATATGTATTTATACGCGACTGTATATACTGTATATGATTGCATAGAATCTGTATTTTAATTGCGATGTATCGTTTAGTAGGTTGGGTAAGGAACAAAGCTGTTTACCAACCTGAGCATCTACTTTGGTACCGCTGGTGTCATCCCAGAGAACATTGTGTCTATCCCCTAGAGGAGAGCTTTTACCGAGCGTTCCCTTCATCGCTTTTACAACCTTCGATTTATCGAGCTTGAAGTTCAAACTGGTCGTGATCAGGCTCTCCGGTTTCTGTTTTTTCGACATCGGCTGATGCCTCTTAGTAAACCAATTTGAGGGCGCCATGACAGAGGTGGCGGCTGCTTTCGAAGTTCCAGCAAGCTTCTCCTTGGCCTCGTGAAGGATGGACACGTCAAAGCTGTTCGAGCGAAAGCTTTTCAGTCGATTTCGCTTTTGCTCGGTCGTCTTACCAGACCAACTCGACTTGCTTTCTTCCCGTAAGCTCGAGGCTTCCTCTCCGCACCAATTGATTTCCGTTGCCGATGTTGCTAACGAGCTTAGAATCGATATCAGATCGGTGTTCGAGCAGACGATGCCCGCTGTCCCGGAACCAGACGCGCCCATAGTTCTTGGCATTTCCGAGTTTCGTCTTTGCAGAGGCGATGTTTTCTGGTATTGTATGTAACGCTGAGAGGAACTGTTGTTACCTTCCAATGGCTGAATCTCGCATACCTGCTCTGTCGACGTTTTGTACATCTTCAAGCGAACCTGTAAACAATTGTTTACTTTCAGATTGGTCTTTCAATTGTTTCATACGTTAATATTTTTCGTTGATTCTTACACTGCCGTCCTTAGAAAAAATGTCTTATCTACTAATTTGCCACTTTTCAGGATAATTTAAAATATTTGGAACATCACGTGCATTTTACCTTCTAAGCAAAGCTAGAATATTCCATATACTTGATAGAGTTCCAAATGTAATTCCATTTATTTGTTTTCACATATTTACAAAATCATTCCATTAATTTAAAGTTTCATTATTTGGATGATCAAAAATGCTAGTTAGGACAATTTAACTAAGGAGGGCAGAATAATAACAAATTGTTGCTTTAAACTTGTTTTCACTTGATTGTCAAAAGAAAATTGACGTCATTTGATTCCTTCGTTGTAGAAGCGCGGTTCTGTGCATGCATGGAAAATGAAATGTAGTTTCGAATTTAATAATGTTTAGATAGTTTAGAAGTATTCTTCGTAAAACAAGGGTGTCTCTATGACTTAAGGGGTTAACTTGTCGCGTTGTGCTCTGTAAACAATTTTCCTATAAATTGCTATCTCAGTGCAAGGATTTTTAGTTCGAATAAAAAAAAGTTAAGTTTGAACCGTGCTATAACATTTCGAGATTGACATTCAAAATCAGCCATTATGTTTATACCAATTTAATATTAGGGGATCTTCAAATATCCAATAAGTGGATAGGGTAATTGTTTTTACGAAAATATTTATACGCAAAACTAATGGGCGGATTCTTTCGTATTGTGTTTTGGAAGTAACTCTTTTTAATTTGCGTTATTTCCAAATTATTTCACGGACCGATAAACAACCTAGTTTCTTTTAATTCCTGTAACGGTCGATTCTTTTAATTCCTGTAAGAGCCTGTACATCAACATCAACCGAGCTTCCCCTGGATTGTTCTCGCAGAGGCAAATCCGACCGACCCAGATTCGTCAATTAAAATGTAATTGTGTACAGTTCTCACCTTTCTCGGTTTAATTTCCGCAATATTGTCCATAATGTCCAGCTGAAGATTATGAGTGCTGCCACTGTTACTCGGTGGGCCTGACAAACCAGATTTCGAGTCGCGGCGGCTAGGTAATATTCTAGTAGCTCCTCCTAGGGGGAAAGCGGCGATAGATTCCCGGCGATTACGTCCAAATGGAGTCGTTGGCAATTTAGAGATTGTTACGATGGAATGCCTCCTGCCGCCAGCCTGCGGAGCTGGCGCTTGAGATAGGGTTGCCAAGAAGGCAGCTTCCCTCGGCGATGGTCCTGACCCTTCGCCACCACGCTCGCTCAATCGCCTCACCTGTTCGTACGAATTACTTTAGATGAAGCCCTTTATATTGGCAATTACAATCCCATGAAACACGATCAAATTTTAGCAGCAATTTCGGTGATTTCACGTTTTAATGATTATAGTTTTCACGGTTATTTGGGATTAAGATACAAACAACCTGTTGCTTTATCTCGTTTGTATGTAATTTAAAGATCGCATAATAAATTCGATGCGATAATAATAACTTATGTTACATACATATATATGTTACACATATCAACATAGAATAAACATTTGATACAACAGTGTCCAACACTAATTTTGATACGTTGATCGTGAACTCGAAAGTTGTTCTTCTCCATCGCTCTTACCTTTTGAGAAAAGACAAACTGTTGATTTTTAAAATTTGTTCTACGTTAGTTGTAGAAGCTGCAAGAAAGATTTGTATGGAGAATGATGCTGTAGACTCTGCCAAGTGCAATGGTATTGTTTTGTTTTAAACATTAGTGAACGTTTAAATACGTTTAAACGATATTTGAAGATAAGCTTCAGTGCTTCTGATTTCTCGTGTTCAATTAATTTCGAAAATTAAAAGTCTGCGCCACACAATGCAATGTACAATAAATTCTCCCTAATTGACGCTCAGATTGTGCACAAAAATGGACAATTTGGGAAAAGGAGACAGGATTATTCGAGCCTTGCGACTCATTTTTATAGTTGCTGACTGTCAACAATCACAAAAACGAGCCGCAAGGCTCGAATAATCGTATCTCCTCTTTCCAAATCGTACACTTTTGTGCATAATCTGAGCGTCAATCAGGGAGAATTTACTATTGATATATGAAAAGATACGATAAGTCCTCGTGCAGTAATTAATAAAACTTATATGTCATTATTAGGCAGCGGATATTTTGCAATGAATATGTCAAATACAAAACTGTATTGAGATTAGAAGAATTTAAGTTTATTCTCCTATTATTTTCAATTTGTCAATGTTATGTTCCTTGCAATCAACATAGGCAAGCTTTATTTTCCATAAAAATCTGCTAATCAGTAGACATAATTTCTTGTCACTCGTAGTGAACAAGAAGAATTTTTGATTGCTTTTCCAGAACCATATTCAAATTTGGGTTAAGTATGGATTAAATTAAACGGTAGGCTAGAGTCTACCGCTATCTGTAATTTGTTAATTAACATTTGATATAGAATTCGGGATAGTTCGGATTCGCGTCGACCTATAAATCTGTTAAATGAAAACTATGTTTCCAAGCTAATTACTGGTTCGTGTTTGTTTTAATTGCGTGCTATCAGCCAAAGTAAATGTATTGAGGAAAAGATTAGACAGTACCTGGGATGCGGTTATCCCGGAAGTGCATTGCGGTGTTGGCAAAGAGTGCTTTCTGGTTTCCCTCCAGGGATATAACAGATCAGGATTCAAGGATGGTAAATCTGGATCCAGAGATCGCGGTGGTGATTCGTTCCTCCGTAGCTCCTCTTCCTCTTCACCTTGTGCGCTTTCCTCCACAATGATTTGTGGTTCGCCAATGCTACTTCCTGCGCTTAGGCAAGCGCTGTTTGATTGTCGCCTCATTCCGCTTCAAAAACTGTATCCTGTGGACGGAAACACAATTACTACGATAATGGCTATCAGGATATAAATTGAATCATTGCGCAAATCGTACAGTAGTTATTCCTCCTGAGTTTACGTGAAACTTAACGTTAGAAACGCAATGTTATTAACTTTATGCTGTAAAGGAAATTGACTTCATGAAAGTGTATTCAGGTGAATATAAATTGAAAGCAATAGAGGTAACATTGACCCTATCGAACTCGAAAAGTTTATACGAATAACAAGACTAAGTTTATTTAAAGTTTATTTAATTTATTTAACTTTAAAATAAAANGACAATTTGGGAAAAGGAGACAGGATTATTCGAGCCTTGCGACTCATTTTTATAGTTGCTGACTGTCAACAATCACAAAAACGAGCCGCAAGGCTCGAATAATCGTATCTCCTCTTTCCAAATCGTACACTTTTGTGCATAATCTGAGCGTCAATCAGGGAGAATTTACTATTGATATATGAAAAGATACGATAAGTCCTCGTGCAGTAATTAATAAAACTTATATGTCATTATTAGGCAGCGGATATTTTGCAATGAATATGTCAAATACAAAACTGTATTGAGATTAGAAGAATTTAAGTTTATTCTCCTATTATTTTCAATTTGTCAATGTTATGTTCCTTGCAATCAACATAGGCAAGCTTTATTTTCCATAAAAATCTGCTAATCAGTAGACATAATTTCTTGTCACTCGTAGTGAACAAGAAGAATTTTTGATTGCTTTTCCAGAACCATATTCAAATTTGGGTTAAGTATGGATTAAATTAAACGGTAGGCTAGAGTCTACCGCTATCTGTAATTTGTTAATTAACATTTGATATAGAATTCGGGATAGTTCGGATTCGCGTCGACCTATAAATCTGTTAAATGAAAACTATGTTTCCAAGCTAATTACTGGTTCGTGTTTGTTTTAATTGCGTGCTATCAGCCAAAGTAAATGTATTGAGGAAAAGATTAGACAGTACCTGGGATGCGGTTATCCCGGAAGTGCATTGCGGTGTTGGCAAAGAGTGCTTTCTGGTTTCCCTCCAGGGATATAACAGATCAGGATTCAAGGATGGTAAATCTGGATCCAGAGATCGCGGTGGTGATTCGTTCCTCCGTAGCTCCTCTTCCTCTTCACCTTGTGCGCTTTCCTCCACAATGATTTGTGGTTCGCCAATGCTACTTCCTGCGCTTAGGCAAGCGCTGTTTGATTGTCGCCTCATTCCGCTTCAAAAACTGTATCCTGTGGACGGAAACACAATTACTACGATAATGGCTATCAGGATATAAATTGAATCATTGCGCAAATCGTACAGTAGTTATTCCTCCTGAGTTTACGTGAAACTTAACGTTAGAAACGCAATGTTATTAACTTTATGCTGTAAAGGAAATTGACTTCATGAAAGTGTATTCAGGTGAATATAAATTGAAAGCAATAGAGGTAACATTGACCCTATCGAACTCGAAAAGTTTATACGAATAACAAGACTAAGTTTATTTAAAGTTTATTTAATTTATTTAACTTTAAAATAAAAAATGTGAAACCGGTTGTTTCAACCGACACGGTAGATTTATAATATAATAAATCCTTTCGAATTTCACTCGATATGATTATAAAACCTTCACACAATTTTTTCATTTGTTGGAAATATGTACATTAGAATTTTCTTTTCTTCTTAAACCTATTTCAAGGAACGACCTTTTTCCAATGAACTGGAAAAGTGCTGAAAATATCTTTCATTATCGCTATTCTCCATATTACTATTCAGATTAATTGTATGTTTATGCAGATTAACTTTTTCAGCACCGTGTATCACGTGCCGAGAACTTTTTCTAGGAACCAATGGACAAGTTTCTGAAAACGGATCTGTGTTGATTGATGGTATCCGTTTGGTACGCGTATTTGTAGCGCAATCTCGCTAGAATGTACGGAATTCCAATTTCTGATCTTATTTGTTCCGATTCATTTGTGTCGCAATGGAACAATGTTCAGATTGATTCCGCGTTTACATTTAACTTCTGGAATGCGACTTGGAAAATCGAGACTTAAATGAACGTGTAATTGTCAAAATGTAAAATCGATAATTGAATATCGATTTTGAATTAAAGGATCTTGAGTTTAAGACCTTTATTGAGAGAAGGGTTACAGAATAAAATTGCGAATAGAAAAATTTGCGTTCAATGTTTTAGTGCTGATAATTTCAAGTTACACATCAGTTTATATATAATAAATGTTCCGAAATAATGTAATTGTTGTACGTTTGTACGTTTCTAAAAGACCATATTAAATCTACCATACCAGATTAAACAAATACTTGGTGAGACATCATTTATTCTGTTGACCAGATAATTTTTCAATTTTATGCACTTACAATAAAACGCAACAGAGGACAAATAGTAATAATAAATATTTTGTGACAATGAACACAAATAGAGTAAAGTTTATTGGATAAGGATAATAAAGTTGATTGGAAAAGAAAATGAAAAATTACTGAAATATGATTAATTGATTAATAGAATATTGGTTCGGAACTTAAATCGAAGGTATTTAGATCTTCTGTTTAGAAAACACTGTAATTGCATATAACTCAAAGTTTTAAATTGTAATCTCACTACGTTACGTCTAACCATGATAAAACCGCAAAAATCCTCCGCATCCGGTTAAGTATATAAACAACTGTCCTTCCTGTGCACACATCATTCGTCGCCAAATGAATTATAAGCACTTTCAGCGGTAAATAAAACTTCATTAAACATGAAGTTTTTCGCTGTTTGCATCTTCGCTATTACTGCCTACGCATTTGCGGCAAGTGTTTCACAAAGCGATGGACCAACGGACGAATTGAGTAAGTAATGTTCATAACGTTTTGCTTTTCTTGCAATAGATTTTTGCTGCGAACTAATGTAATGAGATATGTTCTAAATTATCGCACCGTTAATTGTAATATTAAACAATCGTAATCATAATTTCATAACGATTAAAGGCAACAAAACACCATGAATAACGGGTGTAGGAAATTTTACTTTTTAACTGTTTATAGGGTTGGTTTTATATGTATTTTCCGATACAGTCTTTTCCGATATTTTGCAATATACAGTTTACAAAGTTAATTTTGTAATGACTCTAACAAAAGTCGACAAGTGATTACATAAAAAACATGGAACATAGGAAATTACAAATGATTACAAATTAATTAAATTATTCTATTACAAATTATTAAAAGATGTCCTTCCTTATAGTTACAAAATATATTAATTATGTTAATAAATAGAAGAAAACATTTAAATGACGTTATTAATTTGGTATAGAAAGGTTGAAAATCGTTGAAATAAAAAATTATTATATATTTATATAATAAAAAATTATTATTATTATATATATTATTATTATTTATATAATAAAAAATTATTATATCCATTTAAAATATTTGTAATTTGCGAAGAACTGAACAGAGAACTGTTTGTTGTCAGGGCGTCTACATGAACGTGATGCCGATTCTACCGCCACCGCCGCTGAGGGGCATCCTAATGTTGCGACCAACGATGATAATATAAACAAAATCAATCTAGGAACTGCGATCAATGATGCAGCAAAACAATTTGTCAAAACGGTCGAAGCTGCTGGGAACAGTGGGACGGTACACAAACTAGAGGGCTGGATCACGATCGCGGCAGGAGGGGCCGCCATTTTTGTTACAAGACTCGCTTACGGATTCCGCAATTAGCTACAATATGTGGCATGTACATACATAAATATATATGCGTCTGGATTACATGTAGTCAAACTTTACTCATAAAATTAAAATAATTTTTATTTATTTAAGGCTACTACTTTCAATAGCATTATTCGATAATATAGATCGATAATACAGATTACACTAATAAATTATTTTACTTTTTTTACTCAAATTTGAGAAAAATTGATCATTAAAATAACGCAATAAAATAAAAAATTTTCACTTCTTTTCTATGAAGTATTATAATATACATACAAAATATTATTCATGCTTATATTGATTTCATTTTGTACATTGTTGCACGCGTGTAATTGTTTTGGAATAGTTATACTGGACTATAGTTTAAAGAAATTTTTTTATTGCGGCCCTTGCAAGATACGGCGAATGTGGTTCATTTATAAAATGAACGAATACAGAGTTATGGATATGATATGGCGACATCGATCCTCGGCGCATACCTGAGCAGATACCACTCCTCGCCAAAATGAGGAGATTCTGCACAGTGCTGAAGCTATTACACTCCTTGAGGATGATGATGATGACGTGATGCGACCACGTAGTAGTTGTAAAAACGGCGTCTATGTTTGCCGATGAAGACACGTTTCACCGCAAATGGCTGCCTAAATTCGTCACGATTTCTGATTTCACGATTGGATGCATTTATATTGTAACATCTCGCATAATTTTCTTTCAATTTTACTAAACGAAAACGATAACTATTGCAATTTAATAAACGATGTGTATTTGAATGTTTGGTTTATTGTTTAAATATGTAAAACATTATTTTGTATCTATTAATCCTTCCCATGTTTAATCCATACGTAGTATAGACGGAAACTAGATTGTTGAATTTGTGGTATTCATACAAAATTTCATTATAAAATTTATATTATTTATAATATGAATATAATGTATATACGTATGCAATGTGAATGTAATGCAAATATAAAGTAAAGTCGTAAAAATAATATAGAAGGTAGTTATTTTTTCTACTATACGTTACTATGCCTTAACACGTTGAGTGCTGAAAATTACCATAAAATTGAAGTAATTCAATTAATAAAATTGAAAGTAGAAAGATAAAATTTATCATCGTGGATGATATTTTATCTCGTTTAAATTCTGAACACTCTTGTAAAATTTAGTTTATTGGAATAGAATAAATGTAAATATATAATACAATGTAATAAATATCAATTACAATGAAAATGAACTTTGGAAACTAGTAAAAAATTATTGTCACCTATATGTGATCGTCACAGTATTCAATTAATCGATACACCTAATATTTATGGCGTGATCTATCTAGAACTTGCTGAGTTCTAGTTTCTGATCTTATTTATTCTGGTTTATTTTTATTGCAACGGAACCATGTTCACGTTGACTCGGTATTTACATCGAACTTCTTGAATCCAGCTCGGAAATCGAAACTTAAATGAATATGTAATTGTTAATGTCAGAATAAAATCGCGAATAGAAAACGTTGTGTCCGATGTGTTAATGTTGATAATTTGAAGTTACATATATCAGTTTATGTATAAGAAATGTTATTAAATAATGTGACAGTTGTGCAACCGTATGTTTCTACCAGAGGGACCATATAAGATTAAACAAGTACCTGATGAGACCTCAATTGACCTATTAACTGGATAATTTTCCAATGTAACAAGCATTTTGTCACAATCAACGTAAATACAATAAAGCTTGTTCTGTACTTTACTTTATTGGCTATAATAAAGTTGATTGGACTGAGGAGAAAAAGTAACGAAATACGATTAATTTTATTAATAGAATATTGGATCGTTTATATCGAAAAATTTTAGATATCCCTTTTACAAAATTCTGCAATTCTAGCACGCAAAGATTTAAATTGTAATCCTACTGCGTCACGGTTAACGTACGACCATGATAAAATATCGAAAACCTTCAGTTTTCCGGAAGTTCGGTGGGCCATGTATCAGGTATCATCGCTATTGTCGCATATGCATCTGCGGTAAGCATTATACAATACGATGGATCAACGTACGTATGCATTGTGTAAGTGGACAAATTATATAACTTTGTTTGTAAAATTGTTTCATTGTTTCACAATAAAAATGCCTTAAGCTTAAATTAATCCGATTTGTATCGTGTTCGGACTCGTTTTAATTAAAAGAATTTTAGCCGTCCATTGAAATCATAATTATAAAAACAAGCTGGCAATTTATGAAAAATAAATTTTCTTTGTTTCACTTTTCTTACGTTTTTTTTATCTTAGCCTATAACGAAAATCGGTTGACGTTATAAGTTGTTAACATTTAAAGTTCGTGATAATGACATTTCTTCACGAATTTCTCCCAAAATTTTTGACATCTTCCAGTGACTACAGCTTGACGATTTGATTTGAAGCAACTTATATGCATCAGGCCTCGGTAAATGTTAACCAAACAATTTCTTAATTTCAAACAATTACAAAAACCTGACACAGTACAAATGAAATTGATGCAACAAACATTTTGTTATAATCAACATAAATAGTCTATAATAAAGATGATTGGTTGTCGCTAACAACTTTCTATACACGAACGAAATCTTATATTTACTGTATACCAACGTTTACTTTAATATTTAAATATTGACAATTGAACGGTCGAATTTTATTTCCTTTTCAAATAAGTACATACCATCCAGATATAATAGTTTATATTCGAAATCTTCGTAACCAATAAATAAATATGATTAATAATAGGATTAATTCATTAAAAGAATATTGGATTCTTTAGATTGAAGATTTTATGATCTTCTTACAAGTCACTAAAATTGCATTTTAGAGTTGTAAATTGTAATATCGCTGACCAAAGTCCTTCCTTTTCCTGAAAATTCCGTGCTCCGGAAGTGGGGAACAATCAAAACATTGCACTTCCCCCGATGTGGTTAAGTATGTATATAAACATGTGTTTTTACTATGTAAGCTGCATTCGCTCTCAAAGCAATTCAAGGCACTTTTAGTGACTCTAGTGACATTTCACTTTACAAAATATGAAGTTTTTTGGTGTTCTTTGCATTTTTGTCATCGTTGCCCACGCATCAACGGCAAGTATTTCACAGAACAATGAACCAACGTATGGATTGAGTAAGTAATCATATCATATGACTATATTTACAAATCTGTTTCATAAGTAAAAATAAATAAATAAAAATATTAAATTAAATAAAAATGTCTTTGTACTGGGTGAAACGTATCAGTAACGTATTAATTATAAATAAACGATAAATGGATGTTATTACGTTTTTCTTACAAAAGGCTTTTACAGCGAACAAGTGTAATTGTATTATTAACAATTGTATTATTAATCTTAATTTTCCTTTATAATTTCATAGCGTTTGGCGGCAATAAAACGACTTGAACAATGATGTAGGAAATTTAAACTTTTAAACTGCTTAAGGGTGGTTTGCTATGTATTTGATACTTTTCGTAATTAAAATGTAGACAATTGCTGTATGATTGATATTTTGCACGATCATTTTATAGCAGCACAATATATTAATTATCTTTCCAAATGAATGAAGACATTGAAATGATATAATATATATATACGTTAAATATACTTCTAGTCAAGTAACACGCAGCAAGACGTTATTAATTACATTTTATTAGCTTCGCGTAGAAAGGTAGAAACACGCTGAAATAAATATTGACGTCTAGACTACGGATTTTTATGGAAAATATAAATTAAACTAAACTAACCAACAAGACTATTCTTTGTTTAATTGTTTTAATAGTTTAAAAATAATACATTGACATTTTCATATTCTTTTAATCTTTTTACTATTTTAAATTGAATTTGCCCAATTTTGCCATAAACGCATAAAATCCGCAGTCTATTGATTACTCTCATTTTAAGTATTTAGCGGGGAAGTGAACAGAGCTTCGTTCGTTTTCAGGACGTCTACATAAACGCGCTGCCGATCCTGATGCCGATGCTGCAGCCTACGCTGACGCCTATGCTGAAGCATATGCTAATGCTGTAGCAAATGCTCTCGCCAGAGCTACTGGTCTATCCAATGCCGATGCTATAGCGAATGCTGTAGCCGAAGCTGCTGGTCTATCCAATTCTAATCCTGTGCCAAATGCTGCGGCCAATGCCGTGGCACTGCCCAGTGCTGAACCTATTGCACTTCCTGACGACGACGATGATGATGATGATGATGGTGACGATGTGTTGCGGCCACGTAGATTTACTTGCGATGTCCTCTCCGTTGAAACGGCCTGGTTCAGCGTCAATCATGCAGCTTGCGCCGTGAGATGCTTGGCTCAAAGACGAAGGGGTGGTCGTTGTGAAAACGGCGTCTGTATTTGTCGATAAAGGCACGTTTCACCGCAAACGGCTGCCTGACTTTGTCACAATTACTAGTTTCTTGATTGCATACTTGATTGCCTTACTTTCCACATTAATAAAAGAAACGACTTATTGATATTGTAATTCAATAAATGATGCGTATTTGAATTTTTGGGTTCTTCTTTAATTTATATCCAACACGTATCCTTTGTATCTACTAATCCCTTCAATGCGTAGTTCGTACGTCGTACGGGCGTGAGCTGCACTGTTAAATTTGTGGTATAATATGAATATAATGTATATATGAATATAATGCGAATATAAAATAATGTTATGAAAATAATAAGAGTACTTTAATTAATAAAATTGAAAGTAGAACGATAAAAAATTTATTACTGTGGATGACACTTTATCTCATTTGAATTCTGAACACCCTTGTAAAATTCAGTTCATTAGAATGGAATAAATGTAAATATATAATACAATCTAGTAAATATCGATTACAATAAAAACGAACATTGGAAAATAGTAAAAAATGATTGTCGCCTATATGTGACCGTCTAATATTTATGGCGTGATCTCACTTAAACTTGCTGAGTTCTAGTTTCTAATCTTATTTATTCTGTTTCATTTTTATTGCCACAGAATCATGTTCACCTTGATTCACCTTCTGTTCACCTTTTCTTGAATCTGGCTGGGAAAATTGCAATTTAAATGAACGTGTAATTGCTAAACTGTAAATTCGATAAATGAATATCGATATTGAATTATAAGGAACGTAATTTTACCTCGAATTTGTGACTTTCATTGAGAAATGGGTTACAGAGTAAAATTGTGTATAGAAAAAGTTGCGTTTGATGTTTTAACGTTGATAATTTAAAGTTACATATCAGTTTATGTATAACAAATGTTACCGTTGTGACAGTTGTGTCGTGATCGTATGTTTCTAATAGACGAAATATATTAGATTAAACAGGTACCACATGAATGCTCAATTGATTTATTAATCAGATAATTTTCCAATGTAACAAGCATTTTATCACAATCGACATAAATACAGTCAAGTTTGCTTTGTGCAGGGTGTGCAAAGAATAAGTTTCACGACCATGCTAGGTCAATTCTATTCGCTCGATTTGAAGGAAAACAATGTAAGCAAGGTCCCGCAATGTTGATCTTGATTAGTTTTTTCAAGGTCAAAAAGTTAAAAATTTTTCTTGAATATATCACTTTCTATAAGTCTCAAGGACCAAAGATAGCGAAACCATGGGTTGCTATAGAGCTATGGTTAAGTCCTTGAGACGAGAAGAAAGCGATATATTGAAAAAAATATTTCAATTACTTGCCATTGGAAAAACCAATCACTCTGTCAATTTTTCAGTACCGTACTTACATTTTTTTACACTATATCGAAAGTGTAGAATCGAGACATGGTGTAATCGTCATATTTATTTATTTACAAGCTGTTCTCTATTTTGTTAACTATCGTAAAGTTGATCAGATTAAGAGGAAAATAAAAAATTACCAAAATAAAATTAATTTTATTAATAGAATATTGGATCAAAAGAGTCTAGCCAAATATGCATAGGAAAAGTGCCCACAAATCGACTTGACCTTGGTATACATCAATCGATAGGTTCTCCAAAGAAAAATGTGCGTTTTTATCCCAGGTGGGGGCTATTGCAGGGTTGTACGCGATTTACGATTCTGGCTCTATTTATCCTCTATTCTGTAAAAAAAAAAATTATGAAAAAAATTATAAGACTTCTACCCCCTGAGAAACACATTTTAAAAATATTCTCCAATTTTTCAGTACATGATACAATCAATGATTGCCACGCAGATGTTCGATGTTCAGTTTATGATGCCAGCAATAACGAAACTATTTTTCAGGAAACTTAAATTAATTATTACTTTAAGAAAATTAAATTAATTTACTATTAACGCCAGTCACCATTTATATATGTAATTAATCGAAAATATATACTTATGAAACGTAAGACTTTACAAACAATAGCTTCGTTTAATACATAAAATTGTATTTGTACTTACATATAACAGCTATTTCATAAGGAAAATATATTGAATGTGTGACTGTGCCACGTTTTTGTGTACTAAAAGGTAAAAAAATATCAGTTTTCCATTTTTTTTAGAAAAAATCTATCTCGAAAAATCTGACAAAATTATGTATCACTAGCTATAGCAACAGGGACAAAACTGAAAATATAAAAATGGTCAGTTTACAATGTCAATATAAAATCGGTAATATAAATCTTTCTTGACATTTAAAAATCGGTTTTGTAATCGAAAAATCCGAAAAAATTCTCAAATGTGTAGCTAAGAGGATAGAGGCCTCATGATTTCTTTTGTACTTTTCTTCTGTACGTTTCTCAACCCTGTAACCGCCTTAATAATAGAAGCATCAAGCTGTCACTAAGGGGAAAAAATTTTTTTTTTGAGAACCTATCGATTGGTGGGGGCAATTCGTCTTGGAGGCACTTTTGTCATACGACTCGATGATTAATTTTATTAATAGAATACTAGTTCGTTTATATCGAAAATTTTTAGATATCCCTTTTACAAAATTCTGCAATTCTAACACGCAAAGATTTAAATCGTAATCTCACCGCGTCACATCTGACCATGATAAAATACCAAAAACCTTCAGTTTCCCGGAAGTTCGGTGGACCGGGTCTAAGAATAATCAAAACGCAGCATATTGCCCGACTTGGTTAGGTATATAAACGACTGTGCTTACTCTGCAAACATCATTCGCTGTCAAATCAATTAAAAGCACTTTCAACGACAGGTAGAATTTCATTAACGATGAAGTTTTTCGCTGTTTACATCTTCGCTATCGTCGCATACGCGTCTGCGGCAAGCATTCCACAATACGATGGACCAACGTACGAATTAAGTAAGTAGTCAAATGATATAACTATGCTTGATAAATTGTTTCATAAGGAACAATAAAAATGCCTTTCTAGTGAAAAGAACGTATTGGCATACAGTAAATGAATCTCTTATTAAAGATGTCTTACCAATTAATCTGAGAATAGCTTAAATTAATTCGAATTTGTAACGTGTTTGGACTTTTTTTAATTAGCTGAATTTCAATTATTCTCTGAAGCTGCAATTGTAAAGGCAAGGTGACAGTTTCTGAAAATTACATTTTCTTTGTTGCATGTTTATTTATCGTTGTTCGCGATGTTTCTTTAATTGTGAAATTTCGACTGTTTCTTTATGATGTATATCTATTTCACTTCCGTACCCCATAATTTTCATACAGTGGTGGATAAAAGTATACGGACACTTTTAAAACTGGACTAAATGACTTTAATTTTTTTTAGATGATGATAGAAGGATGGTCTATTGATCAATGACTAAAATAATTTTTTAAAATTTGTTTTTTTAAATTATTTATTTATCAAGGTCGCATCGACAGTTAGGCCATTAGCGACCGCGCGTATAAAGAACACAGAAATATTACAGTGGGTAACAGAATTTCTATAGTATAAATTATAGTGGTATTACGGTTATATTTTATTATAACAATACATCTATAGCTTTTAAAAAGTTTATGACAACAATGAACAATATATTTTTGATATTCAGACATTCGAATAGAGTACTAGGTAATTTAAAAAATGATTGCTGTGGCTGGAAAGTTGAACATATAAGTAATGTATGTTTGGTAGAAAATAGAACATTGCAATTTTTACAAATTATTGGAGAAACTTTTAAAATTTTATGAATATGTGTGATGTGTGTTAGAGTGTCCGATACTAAGGCGTGCGATTATAATTTGGTCTTTTCTATTTCTAAGTGGTGGACAATTGTTTTTATGTATATATATTTTGTCTCATTTTTAATAGTTTATTAAGGCTATGGGTTTTGCACTCCTTAATAGTTTATTAATGGGTGCTAATCCATTTGTTATTCCAATCAGTCATGACGCTTCTTTTAACTTGCTTAAAAAATTCTCTATGAGAGATTTTGGGGTTGTTCTTTCATAGACTCCTTTGCAGCTATGTCGGCTGTGTTATTACTTAGGATGAAAAAACAAAATAAAAAACTCTACTATACTGTAGATCTCCGAAACTTATGTGTACTTTCATTGAAATCGATTCACATTGTTATGAGCTGTTAATATTTAAAGTTCGTTAAAATGATACCTTTTTACGAATTTCACCCAAAAGTAAGTAGTTTTTACATGTATCAGTGACTGCATTTTGTCTATGCGTCAACCGATTTTAATGAAATTTTCTGTATGCCGAAGTTATCGAGATATAAAAATCACATTCTTTAATTTTCCATTATAGTCCCAAATAAAATAAGTTGAGATGCATGAGTTTTTTTTACTTTTTTTGATTTTCCAAGTAATAGCAAAATTTAAAAAAATTTCATTCATTGTCTAATTATCTATCATCTAAGACGAAATTCATATCGTTTAGTTTAAAGTTATACCTTTTTAAAAGTGTTTATATTCTTTTGTCTGCCGCTGGACATGGCTCCAGAATCTATGAAAATGTGCTATTGTATTCATCATCCTAAATTATACAAATTAAGGAAACTCCTGCACAGTTGACACTTTTCGAGACGATACTCTAGTTACAAAAAACATTAATTATGCTTCAAAATAAGAACAGTTTAATAATTAACATGATACAATTTTCATATTGTATACACTTCTAAAAAATGAAGAGAGCTGTCTAACTGCATTTAATACGTCACGGTATAAGAAGAATGAAAATCACATAAATGGAAGATTGAATGCTTTTACTTTGAATACATGCAATTTGCGGAACAGTAAACAGGCAATTGTTTGTTTTCAGAGCATATAAGTGAACGTGATGCCCATCCTGAAGCCTATCCAGAAGGCTATCCTGAAGCTTATGCTGATGGCTATGCTGATGCTATTGGTAATGCTGTAGCCAATCCTAATGCATATGCTGTAGCAAATGCTGTGCCCAACGCTGCTGGTCAACCCCATCCCAATGGCGTTGCATTTGCTGATGACGATGATTATAATCGGTCACGTAGATTTACTTGCGATGTCCTCTCCGTCCAAACGGCCTGGTTCAGTACCAATCATGCAGCTTGCGCCCTGAGATGCTTGGCTCAAAGACGAAGAGGTGGTCGTTGTGAAAACGGAGTCTGTATTTGTCGATAAAGACACGTTTCATGGCAGATGACTATGTGAGTTTGTCATAATTTATGATTTCTCGATTGGATGCTACATTTATATTCTAAGACTTCGCACAATTTTCTCTCAATTTGTAATTCAATAAATAATCTGTAATTGAATTTTCGATTTCTTGTTTAATTTATACCTAAAACATGTATTTTTGTATCCATTAAATCATTTTACAATGCCAATATAAAATCGGTAATATAAATATTTTTTGATATTTAAAAATCGGTTTTGCAATCGAAAAATTCAAAAAACATTCTCAAATATGTATCTAAGGGAATAAAGGCCTTCTGATCTTTTTCAAACTTTTCTGTCGAATAGAATAGGAGAAACGTTCAATCCTGTAACCGCCCCAATAGTATAGATACCAAGCTACCATTTAGGGGAAAAAGTTTCCTTTGGAGAACCTATCGATTGGTGTATATCAAATTCAATTCAACTTGGGGGCATTTTTTCCATTCGGCTAAACCTTTTCTATCGATTATTTTTAGATCATATTTTTAGAAAATTCTGCAATTATAATGCAAAGTTTTTAATTGTAATTTCACCGCGTCACGTCTGACCATGATAAATACTAAGAACCTTCAATTTCCCGCAAGTACAGTGGATCGGGTCTGAGAATAATCAAAACGTAGCATATTCCCCGACTTGGTTAGGTATATAAACGACTGTTCTTACTCTGCAAACATCATTCGCTGTTAAATCAATTAAAAGCACTTTCAACGACAAATAGAATTTCATTAACGATGAAATTTTTTGCTATTTGCATCTTCGCTGGATAGCGAAGATTTGCATACGCATCTGCGGCAAGCATTCCACAATACGGTGGACCAACTTACTCTAAGACGAAAGGTTAGTAGTTGTCGAAACAATGTCTGCGTTTGTCGACAAGTTTGTTACAATTTATGCTTTCTTGATTGAATACTATTTTTATATTCTAAGACCTCAGAGATAATTTTCTTACAATTTTAGTAAAAAATGACGCATTCACGTTGTAATACAATAAGTAACCTGTAATTGAATTTTCGTTTTTTTTTATATAAATAATATAAAAAGTAGATATTTCTTACACTAATGCATCTTAACAAGTTGAGTGAAGAAGATCGACTTAAAATTAATGTAATTCAATTGATAAAACTGAAACTAAAAAGATAAAACTTACCATAATGCACGGTATTTAACCCTTTTGAATTCTGAATACCCTGGTAAAATTCAGTTTATTTGAATACGAGAAATGTAAATATGTAATACAGTATAATAAATTTCGATTATAATAGGAACGAATTTTGGGAAGTTAGATGTTTTACTTTTGTTAATTTAAAGGTACGTATTAGTTTATGTATAAAGAATGTCTCTGAAAAACATAATAATTATGTGATATTAGATTTCTAACAGACGAACCATGAAGGATTAAACGAGAACTGATTTAATGTTAACTGAACAATTTCCTAATTTCGAACAATTACAAAAACATGGCACAGGACAAACGAAATTGATGCTCATATTGTATTTTACTTTATACTGTATAATAAAGAGAATTGGGTTAAGATCGCACGTTTTAGTTAGATTAATACTTTTTTGTCACTAACAAATTCCTATACAACAACGAAAAATATTTAGTGTGTATGCCAACGTTTACTTTAATATTTAAATATTCACAATTGAACAGTCGAATTTTATTTCGTTTACAAATAAGTATATATACCATCCAGATTTAATAGCTTATGTTCGAAATCTTCGTAATCAGTCTGATTCCATGTTATAGTGCAAGGAATAAATAAATATGATTAATAATACGATTAATTAAGAATATTAATTAATAATAATAATAATTAATAATAATAATTAAGAATATTATATTTTTT